TATGCTCGTCGAAGGTTCGAAAAATAATTCTGGAAGAGAAAGCGCCGGGTATTCACAAGCAACAAAGGGGAGCAAATGGTGTCCCAAATGCTGGAACTCGTGGAGGGACGTCATAAGTAAGTTGTGAATTAGGAATATATACTGACCTATTTACCAGAAACCAATTTAATCTCAAAGATCTAAAATCGATTTAGTGTATATTTGTTGTTGGAAATATGTTATCCTGCGAGCATCATTACAAATAACAAACATACCACGTGTTTTCATGCATCAATATAACCACACGTTTTGTAGACAGTGAGCGTAAGGTGGGTGTAAAGAATGTAATTTCATTTTATGATCAATTAGACTCTCTGTAATTAACAGCTTACATGACTCCACATGACCTTAGCGATGTATTAATAATTTTATTTATAAATGATAACATTGTAATCCATTTGTAACGTTTTATCCCGGCGGAACTTACACAGCTTTCGAACAATATGAGCAAAACTATGAGTTCATCCAAGCAGGGAAGTTATTTTAGATAATCACGGCCATGAGTTGAATTCGGCTGAGATGTTTTATCCCCGAAATTATATGGGATATATTGTATCGAAATTAAAATTTGTACCTTTTCTGTGATTCATCGATCCATGGTATTTCATGAATCTCTGGCGGTGTCGAATCTACGTGAATTAGAACATCGTCCTGGTTTGTATTGCCCATCACGTCTGTAGCTCTCACCCATAAATGAATGGAATCGCCATCGTTGCGTGGTATATTAAATCTTTGCTGTTCTACCTGTAGAAAGAAGAAAGGTTAGTGGAAGACAAAGGACATAGACAGTCAAAGACCAACTAGGATACAAGGTTTCGGAAGAAAAAATAGTCCAGTAGCGGTATACTGATGGAACGTCACCGCTTACCATAATATTGTCAACGTCTTGCCAGTTTCCAGAAGGAGATATTATAGTTCGTCCTCCCTGGTGGTCTATGTCGTAGTTTACTTCAAAACGCACGATTGCATTGATATTTGGTATTGCCTCACGTGATCTGGTTGTCGGAGGTTGACCTGTAACATCTTCATACTCTGACGTCAAAGGAGGTGAATTACCTTCAATGACATTCAGGAATGTATGTTCTCTATGAAACATGTTATAAAAGTGTCCTGGCCATCGCAGCACTACCTGTGAAAAGTCATTGCTTATATTTATAGTCTATAAAAGGGAATATAGTCAACAAAAGACACAATGAGATGTATATGACGTACTAGCTATTATGTATATGTAAAATTGGCCAACCTAACTAATGTCGTGTTCGGCGTTTCATCGATTCTGTCTCTATAGCACTACATCATAACAGAACAGGTTGCACCGAAACGACGTGCATGCTTATCACTGTATGACGTGACATTTATCGTTATATTCACAGAGTTTGGTGTGTAATAAAGGACTCGAAGTCCTTTACCTGTGGCCCAGTATTATTTGAATCTTGAAGATCAGTTTGCCAAAGGTAGGCGCTGTTTTTCGCTGCAGAGTCAACCCAGATAGGAAACTGGTCTGTTGTGTCAACTCCATTGACGTCATCAAATATTAGGAATCGCCTGGCTCTATTATGGTTACCAGCCAGATCATAAATAGTCAGCATGACGCAATATACTCCTGGAATAACAGGATATATAAATTTATAAAAAAAAATACAACATTACAAAGGGCCAGTTGAATTTATTATTGGGGGGTTGTTTATTGCGTTGCAGTGTGTAGTTGGCAGATCTACTATACCTGTGTCCCTTAATGTGATAGTAAACTCTGTAGCTGGTGGATCAACTTGTCCCCTCAGTACAGGTGGTATTGACCTATATCCCAATACATCCCCATATGCTTGCATCTTATATACTTCATATTCATATCGTAGTATACCAGAAAGATCGTCATGCCAACCACTATACTGCACAGTTATATCACTCTGTAGAGTAAGTTGTAAAAGTAGCTGAAATCCACTAATATATTTCGTGGTTTATAATTCGAGGTGCACTTGATGAAACGTATATTGACATGCTCTTGTTAAGTAACCAATCGGTAACACTATGTGAATCTCTAATATTTTGTATGATCTATAGAACACCTCTCACTGAACCCTCGATGTACCAACATGGCTTTGATTGATGTACAGTTTATGAGAGTTCGTATTCAAAGAATCGGGTTTAGAAGTCATTACTAAACAGACTTTGTGTGATTACAACAATGTGTTTGATTCGGGTAGTACATCGCATGGCATTTAATGAAGGCAAGCTTCACTAATACAATATTTAAATATGTGTTGCCGAAGAAACTGATTTTATGATATTTTATTGTGGTCACAATAATCAGTGGAAAGTGTTTTACATATAATACAAGTATGATTGCAACTTTATAAGTTGACTCACCGTTTTAGTTATCGCTGGGCCCCTATCGAGCATATTATCAGAGCAATTCCCGGTAACTGTGCAATGTTCTGGAGGCTGATAGTCCAGGGTAAAGTCTGCGGTGTGTGCTACATCGATTCCTGTGTAATAATTCTTGGGATTATTCGTGTAGCCGGAGGTTGCATCATAATTTCTTATAGTAATGTAACCACCATTGCGAGCCTTTGCTGTGAAGTAAAACCTGACAAGAAGCAATCCGATAAGATTGTATTTATAAATATTTATGACAAAACTTTGAACTGAATATACGCGGATGTATATTCACATGATTTAGTGTATGTAAACTCAAATAAGTTAATCGTTTAGTTTATAACAAAATATATAAATAAATAACGAAATAAAATTGATATCTGCGTTTGTAGTCCTACCTGTCCCCATGTTGAAAGCTGAAAACAATATCACCTGTGACGTCACAATCGTGCATAGCTTGATTTGGATTGTTTTGACTATATCCACTCGAGCATGTGACAGTCCCACTTTTGACATTACTTCCGCCTATATAAACAAATCACCAGAAATATTTGATATTGAGTATATAAATCTCGCACTTTATAAACAACTCGATATACGTAATTGCGACAAGAAGTTTACGAAAACCCTCATTATTAGTTATATAATACCAAAACTCAAGGAATAAGCATACCTCAATGGAATAGAATAATTCTCTGTACACTCATATAGAACAGAGTAATCCACTCCTATTTCGATCCGTCTGCAACGCTATGCGACCGGAGGTGATAGAATCGAGTCACGTGATCAGGGAAATCTCGGGCCTCTTCCCGCTCGACGGCGTGAAACCCAGGTTTGTATCAAACTATGGCTGTATTATCTTTTAAGAAAAAAATCCGCCCAGTTTCTATCATTTAATCGTTATTCTAAAAAGTCGTGATGTCATAGGTCCTTTATTCTACACGGTGTTATCAGTGAAGCCATCGAACGCTTAATTTACGGTTATTGGACTTTAGTTCGTGATACTCTCATTTTTATGTTGATTTTATATTTCAGTTTCAGTTATATTCGATTCAATATCACTTATTCTCAATTCAAGATATAACTTCCGCTATACTGGAGGTTACCATGTAATGAACGTGAGTGTGTGAAGTTGTGGGAAAACGTTACCAGTGGTTGTTATGACAACGCGTACTTAACTTCTACGAACACTGTTTTATGCTTATTTTGGCATTTGTTCAATTGAATGTGAACCTCTCCCTGCTTGAAGGCGTGAAACTCAGCGAATAAAAGATATATGTACGCACAATACTGGATATAGAGTCTATTATTGTGCTAACTTCCCCATTTATGCCGGAAATCCGTGTCACATAGTAAAACAAAACTTGTCTGTAACGCTTACCTCTGATAACCCACCATTCATAGGATGCTGAAATGACGCCAACTTTGAAATCTTCCACATAATACTGTTGGGGCCAATCTGTGACGTTAGGACCTGTGTAACTGTTATGCCACTCAACCTGGATACGATCTGGTTGGATATTTGTATAAACAGTTGTAGGTGCCGTCACGTGATCGTCACAGTCGGCGTCCTCTCTGTAGTCACCTGTCGTCTGAATCAGTGTTCCTAAACAGTATTGCATGACGGGAGATGTATTCACTGAAACATAAGGTTACATGTTAATTTTGTTGCTGTAAATTTAATATGTATTGAAATTCACAATGTATCTAATGATGCATGTGAGTTACTACTTTGGAGATATAAATTCAATTGGTATTATAATTTAAATTGTATCTGATAAGGGCCGAACATTTTTAAAAGAAAATAAACACTGCAATACGATAAATATGATTGATGAAAAAGCAAGTTGTGAAATATTTTGTCAAAAATGTGTTCGTTATTTTACAATATAAAATATATACACCTACTTAGCAGGCAAGTTATTCCCACTGAAGTTTTGTGCACATGAACACGTTGAGGGCGTTGTCGTACATCGTCCAGGGTAACAAAACTGACTATCTGGACGCCAGGAGCATTTCTCTGTAAAGCATACATTCATAATGTCAATAGATCGTATTTGCAAACAGCCGTCAACATCTCGTGCGGGTCCCGAGCTGACGAGCCACGCTAATTGTTTTTGCCCTCGCCACCCCCCCCCCCCCATATCCGACCTTTATCGTGTCCATTGTTGCGAATGCCGCGGTATTTTATGTAATTGGACAAGAGGACGGAGTGACTGTCGAGAATGGAATACTTTTTGAGGCTTTATTTGAGCGGCAGAACTATGTCTAGGGGCCTTTTGCAAATATAGATACGACACCGAGAATAAACAATTGCATGCAAGGTGTGAAATAAATGTCTGCACATTCAGACAAGACATAGCAAACTTTCCACTGACCAAACTCACTCATCCCCCCCCCCCCCGACACACACAAAATTCAAATTGTGTATAGTCAAGTGTATGGAGTAGACTATCATCATCTTTAACTTTTATTTACTAGATATCAAATTTGTAATGATGTCTATGAGCGACAATTTGTGACAAGACACGTCATTGCCGCTCAAGATATGTCTCACACATTTCGTAAGTACATTTAAAAATATTACAGATGTCTGATCGGGAAACGGATGTGCAGCTGAACTATCATTTTGCTGTTTCCTCGTAACATAATCGTACTAGGAATAGAAAACTTACGTTCACATATTCTGTTTGGATATCCACCGTAATCTAGCAATTGATATGCAATAATATCTCCACCTCTGTCATAGTTACATCGATGACATGCTTGATTCGTTGATGACGTACACTGTAATTGCTGACAGTTAGCAATAGCTGTACAAGCTGTAAGTAACAACAGCAAAGAAGAAATTTATATTACATGTTGTATCGTATATTGGAGATATGTTAGAAACATTGTGAAATGTATATAAGGTCAAATTAACTGCATGACAGAATGGTAATGTTAAAGGAACAAACTACTGTGTATGTGTGTATTATCTGCTAGGTTTAACTAACTAGTGCGAAAGCATGTGGTTAATGTGAATTTGTGTCCTAGATTTTACATCCTAGTAAAACAGTTAAAACATAAACTAAACAGCTACACAACATTTGCAACTGTGATTTG